GCAATTCAGCCTGGCCTCAAACTTGCAGCAATCCTCCCAAGTGCTAGGATTGCAGCCTTGCACCATTGTTTGTTTGTTTGAGTCATCTAGCAGTTGCTAGATCTAGCTTGCATGGTGACTTGTTTTTAGGGTATCACTGAGTTTATGATCTATATCTACCTTTTCTTCTATATCTGACACTCTGTCCTCACATTGCTTAAGTGTGCCATCCATGCTTTCCACTGAATTTTTGTATCATATATTTCTACTTGCTTTCTTTTCATATTAGTTAATTCTTTACCAGAATAGTCACTCATTTATTGTTTTGTTTAACTCAAATAATTTATTATTTGCTTCTTCTTTAAGCTCATTAAATATTTTATTGGTAAAATCTTTTATCTGCTTTATTAAATCTTCTTTGAGCACATAAACATCTTAAACACTGGCTTATAAATTCCTTTTTTAAAAATTTCTTTGACATTTTGACCATTTGGTTTTTTACTTCTTTGCTTATAGCTTCCTCTACTTCAGTATGAATGAGATCAGCTTTGAGAGGCTAGGGGTTTGGGGAGACATCTTACTGTCTTTCTCATGCAATGTTGATGACACAAAGTCAAGACATATAGGCACGCAGTAAAAACCAATTAAAAGCAACAACTATGCTACCATTGAAAATAAAAGATAAATCAACAAAAATAGAGTCAAAGACAAACTGGATGTTGATATACCTTATGAACCATTAATAGGTACAACTATATCATCCTTAATGATAGAAAAGAGATCTGCACTAATAATGTGGATACAAAGATACACAAAGTATTGACATACAATAACTATCTACTAAAAGCAACAATTATACTAGAATTAACAATAGAAAAGAATTCAGCGATAATAGCATAGTCAAATAAGTAACTACAAATTAATGAAGTTTAGAAGTATTAATAATGAAAATGAAGAAGTGGGGGAAAGGAAAAATGAAAGAATTAAACTTTGAAGTGAAAGGAAAGGAAGACTAGAAGGAAGAGAGAAAAGTAAGATTAAAAGCTCCAATTAAAGAGTAAAAGCAAGTTAATAGAATCAAGTAAATGTAACAGAAAAGGGCAAACAAAAAAAAAAATAAAAAAATAGGAAGAAGAAATGAAAACAAAAAAAAGATAGGAAAAAAGAGACAACCCCCCCCCCCCCAAAGAGAAATGAGTCCAAAACTTCCTCCATGTATTTGGGTGAGTGGTTTCTTTCCAGGGCCTGTTCCATTGGAATTCACCAGATATGGGTAAGGGATAGTGAATCACAACTAGGGCCTGTCTTGTTTCCATGACTACCTTTTGCTGTATGAATGCTCAGTCCCACCCCACCTTTCTTGTTGAGTATGGTCGGTCAATGGTGTTTCTCTCTAGGATAGCTGACTCTGGACTTAACTTCTGTTTGTGAAAACAGAAACTCCTCCCCAGGAGCTGGAGTTAGTGTTCCAGACTGTTTCATTCTTTTCTCTGCATTATCTTCAATTTCTCCATTTTCTCTGTGGTTTCTAATTTTTTCTGTCAGTTCTTTCTTGATTCTTGGAGCTGTATTTCTCTTTCTTGTCACTACGTTGTTTTCTAGGTATCGCAGTTCCGGGTCCTGCAGAACCTGTATTTTGCTGCTGGCCTTTACTCTGCCATTTTAATCTCCTTTCTGCCTGTGTTCTTATCGTTCTACTTTCTTTTTGATATATAGCTTACCTTGAACTTTTGCTCACTACTCTTTCTCTGTAATGCTCAGAATTTTCAGGACTGGCTTCATTTCTGAAGCTCAAAATAAGAACCTGAGGCTCAAAAAGGCTAAGCAACCTGTCTTAAATATCCCAGCTAAAGAATAATGGAGTCAGAATTTGAACCCAGGTCTGACCAGGCAACTCAAGGTCAATGGTTTTGCTAATGTGTAATGGTTCCTTCATTTTTTCAATGCCAACTTGAAGAAGTCTAGGTCTTCAGAGTCACATGCATAAAGGTGCCTAGTTCAGGAGGCTGCTAAGGGCTGAATCTAGCCCATGTCCTGCTTGGCAAGTCATGTGTTCTGGCAGGGGGCCGTATTTCTAGACAATAGGATACCACTAAAAGAGCACTAAAAGAGCTACTAGGAGCCTGTCTCCCTAATATTATGTGATTAAAATGCTCCCTGCAGAATCAAATTGGAATTACATCTGCAAGTTAGTGCAATTGTACCCTGCAAGTAGGTGCTGTCTTTCTGGCTAGCCTGCATTGCTATATATCTTTTAGGTGAGCGTAAAGGAACAATTATTTGTCCTTAGTTAAATACATAGTAGTGGATGCTGGGGATCTTCCCCAAAGAATTAAAAGAATCATACCACAGTGATATATGTGCACCCATGTTCATAGCAGCACAGTTTGTAATAGCTAAAACTTGGAAGCAGCCCAAATGCTCATCAACTGGAGACTGGATAAAGAAAATGTGGCTTTTTTATAAAATGGAGTACTACTCAGCCATAAAAAATGAGAAATTAGAGACATTTATAACTAAATGGATGCACATCGAGGTGATACTCTTAAGTGAAATAAATAGGACACAGATGTGTAAATACCAAATAGTTTCTCTGGTGTGAGAAACTGAAAGTGTAAATAAGGACTAAATGTATAATAGGTAATGTGAAATAGGAAGAAAAGGGGCAAAGGGGAAGGAAGTGGGAGGGCTAGGGGAAAGGATAGAAGGGAATGGGATTAATATGAGAAAATGGAAAACTAGGAACAAAATCTTTGTAAATAGGGAGGACTGGAGGGGTTGAAGGGAGGGCTGGGCAAGGGTGAAAAATAAGAACCAAGAGAGACTATGTAAAGGTGCAAATTTCCAATGATGAGTGTCATTATATTGTATACCTAAAATGTACCAATGATTAGAATGAATAATTGATAAAACAAAATAGGAAGAAAAGGTCCAAAGGGGTAGGGGTAGTGGGAGGGGCAGGGGAAAGGAAAGAAGGGAAAGGAAAAATGAAGAGAAATGGAAAAAATGGAAATAAAGTCTTTGTAAATAGGAAAGGGTGGAGGGCATGAAGGGAGGGCTAGGAATGGGGAAAAAATAAGAACCAAGATGCATTATGTAGAGGTACAATTCCCAATGAGAAATGTAATTGTGTTGTATACCTACAATGTACCAATAAAAGAATTTAATAAAAAATAATAAAAATAATTTTTTTGAAAATACACAGTAGTGGAATACAAAAGTGGAATAAAATCAGAACCTATCATGCTTGTTCACCCTATATTTGGGAAAATAGATTATAAGAGCAGAGAACCAAGGCCCATAATGGTAGATATAACCTTTTCCTTCACATCATATTCTTATCATTGATTACTTCTTTGAATGGTTTCCTTTCATATATATTTTTTTGCCAAAAATGGATAGAGAAGTTATTGGTAAATGAACAATAAAATGTTAATGTTCAGTGATTAAACTTCGATCCTTCCTTTTACTTCAATTATTTATTCATGTGACAGTATATTTAGGTTGTCACACTTGAGAACATTGAGTAGATGTCAACATTCTTTTAAAAGTTTTATATTATGAATGTATACTGCCTACTATTATTAAATTTTCAGGGCTGGGGATTTAGCTCAGTGGTTCCACCGCCTGCCTCACAAGCACAAGGACCTGAGTTTGATCCCCAGTACCAAAAGAAAAATTTTTTCTTATGGACAGCTAGGAAGAGTTAGAATTTATTAAGCAATAAATCAATTCTCTATGTTAGTCAAAAGTTCTAGCAATTGTGATAAAATGAAGTGACCAGACGAAATTGGAGAATATCTGAAATGATCTATTAATATTTTCTAGATCTAAGGAATTGAGAAATATGAACTGGTTTAACATGCGGTAGTTCTTCCCTTCCCTTTCTTCTCATCTTCCCTCCTTTTTTTCTCCTCATGTTTTTCTTTTCCATCTTCCTCTCCCTCTCTCCTTCCTCTCTCTTTGATACAAACAGGAATGTTAATTAGATTCCAATATTTTATGTACTCCATTTAAATTTTATAAAATATCAAATATTCTATTAAATAAGGATTCTGTTCAACCCCTCAACCAAACAATTTTTCAAACTCAGAATTCAAGAAGTTATACCTAATAGGAATTTGGTAGATTTCTTATAAGGTCTTACAGTAGACTAGCACATTAAAAATAAATGCTAGTTAGAATATTGTTTTTTAGTTATAATTGCCAGTTAATAAAAGATTCCAGAAGAAATGTATGCTAGCTTTCACTGTAATTGGATGGTTCCAAGCATTTTAAGAACCCCAAAAATGTCTTTTCACCTTATATCTAATTTATTATTCTAAGATTATAAAATAAGCTATTTCAAAGCAAAGATGAGATTGGATTAGTATATACAGGAATTAGTTATTGATTTGTGTTATAATATGAAGACTCTCTTAAGTTCATGTCTTTCTTAAATTCAAGAGCTACATTCAACTCACAATCTTGCCTGAAATTTCACTAGTAGAGATTCATTTCTTTGGGTTAAACTCTTGTCCCTAGAAGGGATTAATTAAAAGATTCTGGAAGTGTAGCTCATTATGTCTGTACTGTCGATAATTATTGTAACAGTTAACTTTTGTAATATTTATTAGGTGCTAGAAACTTCATAGTTGTCTTTTAAATATGATCTGTTAACTTTGCAACAATTCTACCTAGTAGATGTCAATTTTCCCATTTTATAGTTGAGAAAATCCAGGAGAATAGAAATTACATTATAAGAGACAGAATCCAGAATCAAACGTAAGTATGCTTGACTCCACAGCCTTACCCATTTCCTATAGAGACCGGTCTTTGAGAGTATGTTTAAAGATTCTTAAGGAAAGGCAACTAGAGGTGAATTGGGAGGACTACAAAGACAAAATTAAATAAAGTTCCATGGTTTTATTGATTACCAATACTGAGCAGCTATTGCCTCCTGCCTGATTCTTGACTGTGTTTCCACTCTTTCTTCCCTCAACGTTCATGAGATTTGATGGTGCTTTAAATCAATCTTGCAGGCATTGTTTGGTGACAAAATATTCTCCCCTTACACACCATTTGACCACTTCATTGCCACCAAAGTGTGCAGTAAGAAGATATTCCATCCCGTGTGCAGCAAGTTCCTATTTACGCTAGCTGGATTTGATACAAGAAACTTAAACATGGTATGTATTAGTACTTGAATCTGAGAATGTGATAGTTTTGTAGCACACAGGTGATGGAAGTTCACTCTAGATTGTGTAGAAAGAACATTTTAAGGTCTCTTTTTTGTCTCATGCAATGTAATTAGTATCTCTTGGCTCCCAGACCACGTCTGAGACTCACCCAGCTGTCATAGGAGGATTTGAGAAAAATCTTTACTGCCAGAAATTCTCACCAATGCTTGATGTTGACTAAAATGCAACCACTAAGTCTTTCTCTTAGATTAGGGCTATGGTTTTAGCTTGGTGTATCTGGATCTTATCTCTTACCTACTGAACTGGGATGGGATTCCAGACATATGTGTTTTTACCAGTTTTCCATATTGAAGGGTTGTTTAGAAATAATTCTTTTGTGAGTAACTCCTTATTCAAAAGAGATAAAAGGATGGGCTTTTCAATTACAGGTAGAGATTTATTGTTTAAGGGTGCCTGAGAGGGATCAGTGTTGGGATTCATTATTTCTAAATTAATTGAGATTTTTCCTATCCAAGTTACTACTCTCTGACTTAAAGAATAAGATGTAAAAAGAGAAAAAATTACTGTTTATTTCCTAGGTAGAGAAGAGCTATGTTTGAAACCAGAGATGAGACAGAGCTGAAGACGATCTTCATTTATCTCTCAGACTACTGTTCAGAGCCTGGTCTCACCCTATCAGTGGGACCCTGATTAAAACTTTCATTGCATTCAAGCATTTTATAAAGCACTTTTTAGTCAAAGCATACTTGAACCACTGTCTTTCCACATTCCCCTCTCTCTTTCTCAATTTTCCAGGGAAAGTATGTTTATCACATAGATAAAAGCATATTATATAGATAAAATAGGGTTATGTTAGCAGAGCTAAGTAAAAAGAACTTTATGCAAACACAAAAGAGAAATTTTAAAAGTACTCCCTTGACTTGTTCTAAGAGTATGATAAAGATATCTTTACAAGTTATCACCCTCATCTATTTATTGGAAACCTTGACTGTCCATATATTTGTACATAATCATATCACCTTTGCTTACTGTAAAGATTGGATTGGGGAATATTACATACCTGCAAAAGTATTTACTTTAGTGAAGTATATCAGGGGTACATTGCAGCTTTTGTAGAACTTTGAAAAAAATACATATGTCCAGAACTCAACCCTGAAGATTTTACTTTTATTCAATAATTTAAGTACGTATATTTTTTAAAGCTCTAAGATGTTTCTGATACTCATTTTGGTAAAAAAAAAAAATTAATAACTTCTTGTATCAAAACTGCAATTGAAAATATGACCCTGAACAAATCTAAACATACTGGATGAATAAAGTATCAAAATGCTCTGTAGGATATTTGAGACATTTTAAAAATCAAGCAAACAAAAGGAAATATTCAGATATGTTCTCAATGTTTTTAAATCAAATCTTTCTCCACATATTCTTTGGAACTTAACATAGGGTGAAGGAGGTCATTGTGGCTTTTTTTTTCCATTTAGTTTATTGGTACATTTTAAGTATACAATACAGTTACATTCATCATTGGGATCTTGCACCTTTGTATAATGTATCTTGGTTCTTATTTTTTCCCCTTCCCCTGCCCTCCCTTCA